GAGTTCGAGCCCCCTGTCCGGCTCCGTGCTGACAGCTCAGAGCCTGGAGCCTGCTTTGGATTCTGTGTCTCCCCCTCTCTGCCCCTGCCCACCCCCCAGCTTGCACTCTGTCTCTGTCTCTCAAAAATACAAAAATGTTAAAAAAAATTTTTTTTAATAAAATAAAATATGGTGGGCACAGAAGAATGCATGATCTAAGACCTCATTTTTAAAAAGATTAAGAGCAGCCAAATTAATCAATGGTGGTAGAATTCATGAGTGGTTATTTCCAGGAAGTGGAGAAGGGAACCACAGGAGAGGCTGGAAGTGTTCCACGCCTCGGTCTAGGTGGCAGTTACACAGGTACAGACATAGGTTAAAAAAAAAATCATCAATTTGCAAGAATGAGTGGTCAGGGAAGGGCTCACAGAGGTGACAGGTGAGCAAACATCGGAGGGAAGGGAGCCGTGAGTGGTTCGCTGGAGAAGGAACCGTGCAGGCAGGACAGCAGGAGCAAAGGCCAAGGATACCTGGCAGGTTCAAGGAGCAGCGAGAAGGCCAGAATGGCCGAGGCAGAGAGAACAAGAGGCCAGTGGGAAGAACCGGGGTCCTCTGTAGGCCATGATAAAGACTTTAGTTTTTCTTTGAACGAAATGAAAGCCCTAGGAGTGTCTGAGAACACAAGTGCCGTGATGTGACTTTTAAAAATTTTTTTTTTCAACGTTTATTTATTTTTGGGACAGAGAGAGACAGAGCATGAACGGGCGAGGGGCAGAGAGAGAGGGAGACACAGAATCGGAAACAGGCTCCAGGCTCTGAGCCATCAGCCCAGAGCCCGACGCGGGGCTCGAACTCACGGACCGCGAGATCGTGACCTGGCTGAAGTCGGACGCTTAACCGACTGCGCCACCCAGGCACCCCGTGATGTGACTTTTAAAAGGATCCCTCTGAGTGTCCTGTAGACTGATGTCTGTGAGTATATTAGTCAGGGTTCTCCAGAGAAACAGAACCACTAAGATATATATTAAGAGATTTATTTCAAGGAATTGGCTTACATGATGTGGCGGGCAAACCCAAAGTCTGTAGGGAGGCCGAAAGGCTGGAAAGTCTCCAGTGGGAGCTGCCGCCGCATTCAGAGGCCAATTCCTTCTTGCTTGGGAACTGCAGTTTTACTTTTATGGCCTTTTACTGATTAGATGAGGCCCACCCAGGTTATCGATGGTACTCTCCTTTACTTAAAGTTCGCTGATTGTGGATGTTAACCACATCCACAAAATACCCACGCAGGAACACCTAGATGAGTGTGTGAATAACCGAGTATCTTAGCCTCGTCACATTGACACAGAAAACTAACCATGACAGGGGGTAAGGATGGAAATGGGGAGACAGGAAATCACTATAATAACCCTGGAGGGAGAGGATGGTGGCCTGGAAATGGCCAGAAGAGCAGAGGTGGGGAGGAGGGATTGGATTCCAGACTCAGTGTGAAGTAAAGCCAGCATGACCTACGGATGGGATGAATGTGAGAGAAAGTGGGGATCCAGGAGTCTAGCCTGGGCAACAGCAGAAGCAGAGCTTCCACTGATTGAGATGGACAGACTACAGGAGGAACTGGTCTGGGGTGAGGCTGACAGTCTCATTTTGGACATAAGGCAGAGATGCATCCTGCATACCCAGTAGGCAGGTGGGCACGTAAGTCTGGAGTCAGAGGAATAGCCAGGGGTAGAGATACAAATTAGGGAGCCCAGGGTTCGGCCAGGGAAGTATGGTAAAGCCAGAAAGGGACAGAGAAGAGACAATGGCAATGACCCAGGGGCCAAAGCTGTGCAGACAATGAGATAACACCGCACACCTGTTGAGAGCGTTAAGTCTGTTAAGACAAGCTACAGACTGGAACATATTTGAAACCAGGGACTAGTATCTAGAATATGTAAAGAACTCTCAAAACTCAACAATTTCTTAGAAATCCAATCAGGAAATGGGCAAAAGACATAAAGAGACGTTTCACTGAAGAGGATATACAGATGGCAAAAAAGCGCATGAAAAGGTATTCAACGTCATTCATGATTAAGAAATTACAATTACAAAAATAATAATAGTGACCAATGCTGGCACAAATGCAGGGAAACTATGTACATATATAACTGTATATATGTGTGTGTGTGTGTGTGTGTGTGTGTGTGTGTGTATACATACATATACATACTGATACATTGCTGATTGGATTATAAAATGGTACAGGCACTCTGGAAAACAGTTCATCAGTTTCTTTAAAAAGAAACAAAAACAAACAAACAAACAAAAACCCTACCATATGGCTCATCAGTTGCACTCCTGGGCATTTGTCCCAGAGAAATAAAAAACTTATGTTCACACAGATACCTGTAAACAAACGTTCCTAGCAGCTTTATTTGTAATAGCCTAACATTGGAAACAAGCCAGACATCCTTCATCAAACGAATGGTTAAATAAACTGTGGGGCATCCACACCATGCAACTATTACTCTACAACAAAAAGAAAAAAGCTGTTGATACTTGCGACCACTTGAAAATCTCCAGAGAATTATGCTGAGTGAAAAAAAAAGTCCCCCCCCCCAAATTACATATTGTATGACTCCATACACATAATATTCTTGAAATGACAAAATTACAGAAATGGAAACCAGATTGGTGGTTGCTAGGAGTTCAGGAGGGGGTTGTGTTGGTAAGCAACTGGGCATGGGCTAGAAAAGGGCAGGAGGGATCCTTGTGATGATGAAAATGTTCTCTATCTTGACTCCATCAATGTCAATGACTCTATCAACTTGCCTACGATATCGTACTACAGTTTTGCAAGATGTTTCCATTGGAGGAAACTGTGTTAATGGCACACTGGTTATTTCTTTCGACTGTATGTGAATCTACAATTACCTCAAAATATAAAGTTTAATTTTTAAACGGACATGCAAAACGCTAGCTTACATTTTGTATTAGATCCAACAGGCATAAAAGCCATCAACATTTTAAAAGTTCTGCCCTTCACCAAAAGACATCATTAAGAAACTGGAAAGGCAAACCAAAGACTGAGGGAAAATATTTGCAATACCAGCTCTGACAAAGCACTTGTATCCAGAGCATAGAGAGAATCTCTACAATATGAGCAATACAATGCAATTAAAACCACAGTGGGACAGGACTTCACAACCGCTAGCATGCCTAAAGTTGGAAAGACTGACAATGCTAACTTTTCACAAAGATGTGGAGTAACAGAAGGGTCACATGTTGCCGGTGGAAATGTAAAATAGTACCAGTGCTTTGGAAAACTTCACGGCTTACCTAGATATTTACCAAAAGAAATGAAAACATGTATTCACAAAAAGACTTATACAGGAATGCTTTTTCATAGCAGCCCCAATCTGGAAACAACCCAAATGTCCATCAACAGATGAAGGGATGAGCAAATGTGGTGTACTCATACAGTGGAATGCTACTTCGCAATAGAAAGGAACAAACTTTTGATACACACACAGACATGGGTGAACCTCAAAAACTTCATGCTGGGGGCGGGGGGACGACCCAAACGGCTACACTGTATGATTCCATTTATATGAAACTCCAGAACAGGCAAAATCATCCACGATGATAAAAGTAGATCGGTGGCTGGGTGCAGGGAAGGGGACTGACCGCAAAAGAATAGGAAAGACGTTTGAGGGATAATGGAAATTTTCCCTATCTTGATTATAGTGGGCATAAATGTCAAAATCATGGAACGGTACCCTGATAACGTGTGCATTTCATTTTATATAAATTAAAACTCAGTTGATTTTTAGTACGAAGACAAAATACAAGCCCAAAGGGGCTCTATCAACTTGCTATGAAAGTTTCTAAATGTTTACTCTAAATTTCCGTACTGAATTCTTCCACCCCATGGACAAAAAACAGCTGTGGTCCGCGGTCCACACTCTGAGCAGCAAACACCCTACCCCACTTTGCCAACTACTCGCTCCTCTAACACATCTCCCCAGCTCCGCCTTTCC